CCCCACATATACATGCACAGAGGGAGAGAGAGGGGGAAGATCTGAGTAGATGGAAAGATATACCACATCTTTGATATGCAAATGTGCTAATCTCCCTCAAATAGATCTATAAATATAATGTAAATTTAGAAAAATTATAGCCGTTTTTTTTTTAGGATCTCAATATGCTTATTTTAAAATCTATACGAAGGAATGGTGCTCAAGTCTACTTAGAATGGGAGAAAACAAAAAGGGGGAACTCACTCTCCAATACAAACCAGTTTGGAACTGGTACATAGTCCAACAGACCCAAGGAAAAATTACCCAGAGTCAGTAACAGAGTCAAGTCCATCTGGGAGCCTGCTCTAAAATAAACATAGCTCCGTAAGTCAATAGGTGAAGGATGGGTTGCTTCAACCCGCTGATTGGAGCACGCTATGCCCAAACCATAGATCTGTTTATGTCTTGTCACAATGACAGAATTTGCTGAGTAATTCACAACCTACATTAGTTTTGTTGGTTGACATTTGCCAAGTAGTCCTGCTTCCCCATGATAGCTGTCTCTTGGCAAACGGTTTCTTTTATTTCAATCTTAATGACTATTATTAACTCTCAGATAACACATGACACACTACACCTGAATTATATCTCTCTATGCACACACACACACACACACACACACACACACACACACATTGCTGAATACAAAGGGTCACAAACGAGTTGGAGATGCTGCTGAGTTTGGAGAGTTCAATGAGACTCCACCAATGGCAGAACATCAGCATCAGAATGCCCATGCAGAGGCAGAGTCTCTGAGGGTGGTTAGCTGGTATACTAACAACCCTGCTTGGGGAGCTGCTGGAACTGCAGAGATGCTGCAGGTTGGCAGAGTCCAGCCAGACTTCTGGGTTCAATCTGTGGAGGAACAGAGCTGGAAGCGTGTGGTGATATTTTATCTGTGTACCCCAATAAAGCTTATCTGAGGATCAGAGGAAAATATCAGCCACTATATTAAACACAGAAGTCAGGCAATGGTAGCACACATCTTTAATTCTAGCATTCGGGAAGCAGAGATCCATATGGATCTCTGTGAGTTCAAGGCCATGCTGGGAACAGAGCCCGGCATGGTGGCACACGCCTTTAATCCCAGCACTAACCATAGAGTTCTGGAGGTCTGTACACACAGACAGGAAGTGACAGAGCTGGGCAGAGAGAGGAAATGAGATGGCAGAACAGAAAGGCATATAGGCATGGGTAGACAGGAAGTAGGGCTCTTTGGCTGAGGAGCTCCAAGTGGTGAGAACATGGCTGGCTTCTTTCTGCTTTCTGCTCTCTCAGTTTTAACACCAATATCTGGCTCTGGGTTTTTTATTAATAAGACCATTTAGCAATTCGTCCTACAATTGACACCCAATGTTTGTGGCAAGGATTCACTAAAAAGCCGCTTGTGGCCTTACAGGCCCCTGGCTCAGGCCCAAGCTTTACTGCTTGGGCTGGGCACGGCTGTTGTCTCTGCCCCACATTGGGTGCAATTTGTAGTTTGGAAGGTTTCTTGGGTCTCACCTGGCCCCCTGCGGACCTGCAGCCACTTATAAAATAATCACTCAGAGGCTTAATATTATTTATAAATGCTCAGCCATTAGCTCAGGCTTATTACTAACTAGTTCTTACACTTAAATTACCCCATAGTTCTTATCTATATTTAGCCATGTCGCTTGGTACCTTTTCTCAGTTCTGCCTTGTCATCTTGCTTCCTCTGTGTCTGGCTGATGACTCCTGATTCTGCCCTTCCTCTTCTCATATAGAGTACTAATTAATTGTAGAAAAAAGGCTTGATTTAGCTGCCTGTACATGTTTTTGTTGTTGTTGTTGTTGTTGTTTTTAAATCAATTTGGGCTTCATAGTAGTATTGGACAGGCGGTGGTGTCTTTGTGCATGCTGAGATGTAACATCATTCTGTCTTTGCGTTTATTGTCCAAAGGAAGCCAAGTGCTCCTTGTAAAAGTGATGTACTTCAGGACAAGGCACAACCTGAAAAGCGATGGATTCACACATTACTAGGGTAACTTTGGGTCTGCAGCAGCCCTGTTGGTAAATGGGACAACACAGTTCATTATAGTCTTCTACTAGTTTAGGCCAAGCTCCACTTCAAGGACACTAAGACCTGCCACTGCCCAAATCCCTCACAGGAAACGGTATACTATGTGCATACAACCTGTACACCTCCTTCTGTATACTTTAACCCATCTCTAAGTCACTTACAATACCTAATTCAATGCAAACGTTACAAGCACTTTTTGTATATTTTTCTCTAGGGAACAATGACCAGAGCCAAAGCTCTTATAAATGCTCACACAAAAAGCTAGTCCATGAGAGGCTGGAGAGATGGTTCAGCTGGTAAGAGCACTGGCTGCTCTTCCAGAGGACCCGGGTTCAATTCCTAGCACCCACACAGCAGCTCCAGTTCCATGGAATCCAAAGCCTTCTTCTGGCTTCTGTGGGCACCAGGCACACATGTGGTTCACAGATCTGCAGGCAAAACACCCATTCATGTGAAATAAAATAACAATACTTTTAAAAAAAATTTAAAAGCTTATCTACATGATCGTGGCTGACAAAACAATAGACATTTTAGTGCAGATGAAAATTCCCAAGCTTCTGGGTTTGTGGTTGCTTGGATTCATGATTATGGAACCTGTGTAGGGAGAACTTACTTTGTATGACTCTGAAAAAAGTTGATCAGCTATGTAAGAAATAGATTGCTGTGGTCCATTTTTTCAGTATGACATATACTTAGCGTTCATCAGAGTTATAGGGAAGCAGGAAGTGATAGGCCCCTCTCTCCCCTCGCTGGCAATTGGCATGCTTGTCTCAGAACGCCTGAAAATTGTAAATTTATGGTCAATCTGCCCCATGACTGAATCCATGATCAGAAAAGGGGCAGTCCCCGGCCGCAAATTATCCACTGGATCGTGACCTTGTGTCTTAGACCAATGACATGAGGAACCTGGGAAAGGGGCAAGTCTGAGCTACAGGGAAAGAAGATAGGAATTTCTCTGAACAGGAGTTATTAAAAACCACTGCTCTGTGTCAGTCAGCACTCCTGCTATTTTTGCCTTTTTGTTTCTATGCTGCATCCCTTGATGCAGAATCGGCATATTAAGAACTGCTTGGTTTTCACTAGTCTCTTGAATCTGTCTTGTCTTATTCTCCATGGCTATGTTTGCTTCACATACGGACAAAAGAAAAGCCCAGGGCAGAGGTAAAATTTTGAAGCTAATAGAAGATGTCAAAAGTACTAAAGAAGGGGCTGGAGAGATGGCTCAGAGGTTAAGAGCACGGGGCTGCTCTTCCAGAGGACCCGGGTTCAATTCCCAACACCCCACACGGCAGCTCACAACTGCCTGTAACTCCAGTTTCAGGGGATCTAGCACCAGGCCAGACCTGCAGGCAAAACATGAATGCACATTAAAAAAAATCTGTAAAAGTGCTAAAGGAGATACATCCTCAAGGCAAAAAATGTAAGTTGGCCTTTTCACAGATTTAACACTTTAAAAATTAAGACTTTCTGTAAAGGGCAGGCAACTTAAGCTAAGTTAATAAAAAGCTGACAGGAGATATTTATATCCAAAGCCTACGAGGCATTAATGTCTAGAATCAATCAACCCTAAATCTCAGGCTGTTTCACAAAGTAGGAATGATCATAATGGCAATAATAGAAAGCAACGTGCTCAGCGCGAGGCTTGACAGCCAGCCAGTGTTGTTTGCTGCTCCTGGTTCTGAACCTGGGACGAAACCCAGTTGGTACCAAGTCATGATTCACAGACCCTGACTATCTGGTTGCTGTCTCACTTCATGTTGCCGACTTCTGAAGCTACAGAGCAATGCCTATGCAAATACCCAGCCCGTCCCAATCAGTGTCCACAGACTCTCTTTGATCAATGTCCCTGAATACATCCGAAGTTTCAGATGTGGCCTCTCCTGGGACACGGAGGTGAGGCCTGTGCCCTCTGCACCACGGTAACCATGGGACCCACTGCCAAGGACGCGTGCCAGGTGCTGAAGCAAGACGATCATGTTTCATGGCTTGAGGTGTGAATCTTGTGACTGTCACATTCCAGCCCTCCTGAGGCTGGGCCCCACAGATACCCACCCCACCCAGAGAGCAGAGTGACTTGGGAACCCCAGTTTCCTCCTCCTCCTGGTCCCTTTGTCCAGGTGTAATGTCTGATGAGGTGCCTGGGCGAATCAGCTTTCTCCTACCGGGTTTCCTGGGGACTGCATGCCCAGAGGCAGGCTGGCCACAGAGATGACTCTGCTCTCTGGAAGCTTTGGCCTTTTCTGTCCTATGATCTCAGCTCTGGGAGAGGCTCTGGCTCCCCGTGTGTGGCCTGAAGACTTGCACGGTGATGCACTGGGCAGAGGCAGCGAGCTGAACTCTGTGTCAGTGACCTGAGCTGGCTTCATATCTTGGACTTGAGGGAGAGATAAACAAGCCAGGCTGGGCCAAACCGCTGATAGGAAAGGAAATGAAAGGAAAAACGGAAGATAATTCTATTTGGTACTGTCGAGCACACCGATTCCTGTCCCCTATAGAGCTGGGACACACCCATTTCTCTCTTAATTCAACGGGCACACAAACTGAAGCCCCCAAAAGAATACGGTTTGCCCAATCATTCCGTTTATAAATGGCTCCTTCGGCTCTGACCCCTAGGTCTGGTGGAGTCCCGTAACGATCACGTGTTTGTTCACGTGACCGCCTTTCACAACATTTTCTTTACCTACAGATGCAGAGTTGGGGAGCCGGGGCAGATGATGGTAGGGTGAGTGGACTGCGTGGAAGCACACCCACCCGATCAATGCCTGATCTCGACCAGTGACTACACTTCCCATAAGTGTGTTTTAACAAATGCTCCTTTGGCCAGGCGTGGTTTTGGTTTCTCAGAAATCCCGATCCACT